CACTCATTTACCCAGCATGTCATTGATAAGAGAATCCTAGATCCCCCCCTCTATTCCAGTCCCTAGACCCCATGCCCCTCCCAGAGCTAGCAAGAGAACCCAGGAGTCCTGACTTCCAGCCCCCTGCTCTGAGCCACTAGTCCTAATTGCTAGAGCAGGGCGCAGCACCCAGGACGCCTGTCTCCCACTCCCTGCGCCCTTGCTACAGCGAGGTTCCAAGGAATGGCTCAGGGGGCACGGGGGTGACCTTGCCCCTTGCAGCTTTGGAGGAGAGCTCTCCTCCTCCCGCGTCTCTGGGCCCTTCCTGCAGACCAACCTGCCTGTGCCCCGCTGGGTTCTTTAACAGGCCCGTTGGAGGCGGTCACGTGACAATGATTTCTGCTGGCCCATCGGGGCAGAGACCCTGGTGGAGCTTCCACCCCCCCACGCCCCCATCCCCGGTCAGTGGTGGGAGGTGACGCTGCTGCTGTTCTTGCTTCTCTGCATCAGTTCACCCGGAGTTTATGCCTCATGGTCCCGATCAGAGCCCCAGGGGCCTTTCCCTGTATTCAGAGCTATGACTCCATCCCTCCCTACACTTAGCCCGGTGCAGGGCCTGGCCTCACCCGCTGAGCTGCTCTGGTAAGCCTCATGCTGGCCATCTCAGTTGGCTGGGATTGTACGAGGCCTGGCTAGTGGGGGAATGGCTATTGCTGGCCCTGTGGCCTGGGAGCTAGGAGACCTGGGTTCTATTCCTGACACTGACCTGCTGGGTGACTGTAGGCACGTCCCTGCCCTGCCCCGTGCCTCAGTTTCCCCTCCCGCCCCTTTGCATGGTTAGATCGGGAGCTCTTTGGGGCAGGAACGGTCTCACTCCGTCTGTGCAGCGCCTGGCACAATGGGGCCCTGATCCGAGCTGGGCCTTCAAATCGTCATTTAGTTACTAAGACAGTGGAAATCAGACAAAGGAGAAGGGGGGGGAGGTTGCCCCCGTGGAAAGCTGACAGCTGATCCTTGGGAGGGTGGGAGGAGGGGCTTTAACTGCGCAGGAGTGGCCCAGGCATGGAATAATTTGTACCTGAGGAGTGAGGGGCAGTGGGGTGGGTTTGGACTGTGGGGCATCAGCAGAGCTGAGGGTGGGGATCCCGGAGCGGGACTGGCAGGGGGCTGCAGTTCAGGGCGTTGGCAGAGCTGTGTACAAGAGGAGAGCCCAGGACTGGAACAGCAGCGGGGGGCAGTGGGTGCCCGGAGCGAGGAGCACAAGGAACGCTTGTGCAGTCTGTGGCCAGCGTGCTCAGCGGCAAAGGAGCTGAAAGTGGCCGGAGTCCAGGCAGGGCACCCACCTCCGTTCAGTGCTTTTGATCCCTTTGAGGTCTGGCCGGAGCCGCTCTTGGGATCCTTATGAACGGCATTGTTCGGCCAGGCTGCTCCCAGGGTTGGGGCGGGCCAGAGGGGGAAACCGCCCGGCTCATGGGTAAAGTCCCCTGAAATGGAGATCAGCTGCAGAGATGGGGGCAGATTATGGCCAGCCCTGCCTGGCGGCACAAGGGGAAGAGAGAGGGGAGGCAAGAGCTGTGCTGGATTCTCAGCTGAGCCCCTGCCAGCCTCCCCCTGTAGCCTAGGGGAGGGATCGCTCAGTGGTTTGAGCATTGGCCTGCTAAACCCAGGCTTGTGAGTTCAGTCCTTGAGGGGGCCACTTAGGGATCTGGGGCAAAATCAGTACTTGGTCCTGCTAGTGAAGGCAGGGGGCTGGACTCGATGACCTTTCAAGGTCCCTTCCAGTTCTCGGAGATGGGATATCGCCATTAATTTAAAAGAATCCAGTTGGTGCTGCTGCCTCTGAACTTTTCCAAGGCGCTGGCTAGTTTGGGGGCCTTCGTTTTGGGGGGGGGGGCCCAACCTGAGACACCTTTGAAGAATCCTGATGTGTTTTTCAGGAAGGGTCTAGCTCTCTCCCTCTGGAAATCAAGCCCTTTCTGGGGTCTTGAGTGGGGTCCATTAGCCTAGTTTGGAAGGCGATGGGAGTGACCCCGGTTTACACCTGTTGAGGACGTGGCCAGTTAGCTACAGCCCAGGGCAGAAGTGGGACAACTAAGCAGAAGGATCCAACCCAGCTTCCCCTTTACCTGGGAGTTTGCATCAAGGACATTAGAGGTTGTGCGGCGACATCTCCTGGAGTTGGAGGGTCCTTTCCTGTGGCACCTTTCTCAACCTGTCTCCTCCCAGGAACTGAGGTGGCCAGGAAATGCCCAGGGACCTCTCCCGCTGCTGCTTTGTTTTGCTGTAAATAGCGGCGAGCGGAGTGGCATGCAAGGTGCAGGCGTGTTCACGGCTTGGCCTGGTTTGGAGCAGTCAGGACCGGGCAAGAGGCTAGAACAGAACCAACCAGGGAGCCCTCAAGAGCGGAAGGGAGCAGGATGTCATTGCACAGGCTGGGAGACTGCAAGGTCATTCGTGTCACCTCTGTACTGTCGGCACATGAGAGGCGTGAGCATGGGGCGAGTGGCCTGATTTTAAATGTAGGCCCTGCTCTATGCCACCGTTAGGGCAGGCGTGGGGGTCTCTGCAGAGAACTGCTCTGAAGCCTTAGCGACAATCTCTATGCTCCAGGGCACAAGCGTGGCTGAGGGTCAGGAAGAATTATATCCCCTTCCGGTACAAATGCTGTAGGACCCTGCAGGGTTTATGTGTTGATTTTGCAGCTTACAAAACACCTGTTCCCCTTTGTGCCCGGGCTTTGAAAGGGCCCGGGCAAGGGGCGAAAGGGGAGCGAGCAGCCTCACTGCCCGACAGGAGGGCATAAA